CCCTGGGTGGTGGACATATCCCTGCTGCTTTCTCATGGAGAGACATTTTTCTTGCCTGTAGTGCTTTTCTTCTGCATAATCTCCAGGGCCTTCCCTTTCAAAATGAAAACAGCCCATTGAAGTTTTTTCCAAAACAGAAAAGAAGCCTTCTTGTCTCTGAAGAGTGTAATATAATGACAAACACAATCCTTTTTGGATTAATTGTGTTTTATCAAACACAGTCTTGTTTGTTTGTTTGCTGGAGACAAAGATCTGTGTTGTCCAGGCTGGCTTCAAACTCCTTGGCTGAAACAGTCCTCCTTCCTCAGTCTCTTGAATAGCTAGGACTGCAGGTGCATGCCACTGTGCCCAGAGTCACAATCCCTTCCTGTTTGACATGACATATTGAACATTTTCCAACTCATTTAGGAATTTTTCTAAAATACGATTTAAATAGTCACAGAATTAAGAAGTAGGAAGTATGACTGAATATTTCCTATAATTAAATACTTGTTTTTTAATGTTTGATAAATATGGTAATAATGAACATTCTTATCTATACATTTGTGTTCACATCTTTGATTTTGTCCAAAGTGTTGGTTCATATAAGTTAACTTTCTGGAATACACACATATTTAAGGCTTTTGGAATAGATTGTCAAATTGCCCCCCAGAGAAGTCACACCAATTTAGTTTATCACCTGTCACAGTGTGCCTTTCTCAGTACTGTGTGTGTGTATATATGTATATAAACATATATATTTAACATAAACATTTAACATTTTGGGCATTTTCAAGAATTGTAAACCATATCATCCAAAAGTTTGTGAGAGATATATGTACATTTACAAAGCCTAAAAAAAAAAAAGCATCCCAGTGAAGAACGAGCACATCATCAGCACCTTTGAACCTGTATATTCTGTGACCCCTCTGCCCAGTTCATCCAGAGCTGTCCTCGTTTCAGCATGGAAAATCCTGAGTCCTGGGAAATCCTTCAGCTTGAAGCAAACCTGGATGTCTTATGTGCTGTGCTCCAAGTCCACCTCCTCCCTCCCGCAGTGGTGCCCTCTCTGTATGGATCCCTAGCTGTTCCTTCTTTTCAGCTTGTGTACATGGAGTTGCACAATGTGTTCCTTTTCTGCCTTGCTTTCTCCAGCACTGTTCCTGGCATTCGTCATCATGTACAAGCCACAGTTCATCCAGTTTCCTGTTGACCTCTCTTCCCTCTGATGAACAGTCTAGTTTCTGTGTTCCTCCATCAGTGGCCTCACAGACTTTGTTCCTGTGAGCGGTGCTGCACTGAGCTGCCTCCCGTGTTTCCTGGCATGAGGACAAGACTTTCTCTAGGTTCTTTGCCAAAGAGACAAACTGCTAGAAGATATGCATCTCTTTCACCTCATCCAGGAGCAGCAGCATGTTTTCTAGAGAGGCTGTGACAATTTCATCCATCAGCAATGCATGAAAATACTTGCTTTCTGCATCCTTATGAAGTAGTGTCTGACTAATTTTAGCCATTTGGTTCACGGTGGGTTTAATTTACATGTTCCTGATTACCCATTAGAACGTCTTTTCAGCAGTGATTTCCATTTCAGCTTCCTCTTCTGCGAAAGGCTTGCCCATATTTTTGTACATTTTTCTATTGGTCCATTTGTCTTTTCCTTATGAACTAACAAGGCTATTATTTTTGGCTTTATCAAGGTAAAATCAAGTTAAATTGGTCTTCAGAGTTAAATTAAAGGGTTTTAAAATCCAGAAGACTACAATTCATGGCTGTCACCCTTTTGGCTTGTCTGGGCTGCACTGCATTAATAACTCATGGGTCACAGATAAAATACTCACTACAGTTCATGTATATACGTAACAAAACTTCCTTTAAAATTTTTATTCTGCTAAAATGAAATAACACAACAAACTTGAGGGCTGCAGGTAGGATATGGCTGAGGGGATGCATTTATCAGAACTTGGGAAGTCTTTAGCCTTGATTGCAAACTGCTAGTATTTCATTCTTTAAAAAAGGAACCAGCCACATCATCTTCTACTTCAGTAATTCCCAAAGTGTGGTCCCTGAGCCATCAATATAGACTGAAAACTCATGAAAATGTAAATTATTGGGCCCACCAATAGCCTACTAATAGAAACCCTGGAAATAAGACCCTGTAGTCTAACAGTTTAACAACCCGACAGCAGATTCTGATGTATGTCAAGTTTGAGAACCACTGCTTTACTCTGTCATTGTTCCTTCTAGGTGGGAGAAGAATTAACCACAAATAGATTGGCCTATCATTCTACAAGTAATCAATCCTTTCCCATAGAAATGTACTGAAGAAGTTGTGTTTTAAGAAAAGGCTAAGCCGGGTGTGGTGATGTGCACCTGTAATCCCAGCACTCAGAAGGCTGAGGCAGGTTGATTGAGGCCAACCTGGGCTTCATAGTGAGTTCAAGTCCAGCCTGGAAAAAAAAAAAAAAAAAAAA